ATGTGCTGATATCACCCATATTTAATGTCTAATATACCGGCGAATTGATAGGTTGGCTAACAGTAGGTATGCATCAGTTTAATATTTATCTACATTCCTCCACTCCATGAAGGATAGATGCTCGAAATACGAACCCCGCATATCGCCATCATTAAATGTCATCGCGTAACCGGTAGTTTGTGCCGATGCTCATGATCAGGGGACATATTCGTCATTGTCTCCGCTAGAAGCGTGACAATGCGCGTTTGTTCTTCTCTGCCTGATAATCATTTGTTCATGATAGTAGTTATATCGATCGAGGGGAGCGGAATATCTCCCGATCGGCTACTGGGCTAGATAAATATATTTAGCTGCATGCGTATCGATGTGGACGCAGATGCGGAGATAGATGCTTTCATCATCAAGCCCCGTATTGCGTGATATAGAACTAGTTTAGTATCTCAACAGCCTGTATAACAACTTTTCTGGGCTCCTAGGCATGTCAAATGATCTCAAGTATCAATACCAAGAGTCATTAAACATGCATCCATCTATAGAATCTCCATAACCATATACCCCCCCACCCATCTAGATGTACCAACTGCACTACAATTTCCCACCCTCAACCTCAACCCTAACAACCTCACCCCCCTCCTCATCCTTACCCCCAGCCTGCTGTCCCCTAAAAACACCAAGTTAGCACAATCCAAACCCAAAACGCCCAAAGAAAAAGAAAAAGGAAAGAAAGAAAGAAAACACAACAACCAAAAAAAAAAAAAAAGGGCAACAAACCTCCTCGTCCACGCCCCAATCCCATGCGCCAAGAGTATCAAACAAACCGCATTCACCAGCACAAAAGCATACCCCTTCGTAAACCTCGGCCCCTCGACAGTCTTAAATACCAACAGCGGTGTCCAAGCAGTAGTCGACTGCGCAACAGTATTAAGCACAACAAGTGCAACAGCCCGCTGCGTAGCCGAATACCGTAACAAGGTATTAACCCACCCATACAACACACTGGACATAGCAACCGCCGAATAAGTAGTAACAAACGCAAACCAAAGCGCACTCTCCCGCACATCCCAAACGACCAAAATCACCAACCCGATCACATTCCAAACATGGGCAAGCGTAATAGCCCACGCAGGCCCCAGCACCAAATCACTCGCAAAGCACACAAACAGCGTGTAAAAGATTCCCAACGCCGGGGAGATCGCCGCTAGCTCGTTTATGCGGCTCGTTGAGAACCGATTTAGACTCTTCAGCCAGAGGAGGTAGCCGCCGGAGGAGGTGTTGATGCTGCCGTTCCAGAAGAAGATGTCGAGGGCGAGGAGGGCCCAGACTGCTTTGTTTGTGAGGAGGGATTTGAGGGTGGAGAGGGTGAAGGGGTCTGAGGAGGTGGCGTGGCCGGAGCGGGAGAGGCGGGTTTTGCTGAGGGTTATGTCTTTTTCGGAGAGGATGATTTTGTTGGGTTTGTCGGGCGTGCCGGGGAGGACGAAGTAGCCGAGGATACCGATGGGGATGGTGATTATTGCGCAGATGATGTACATCCAGCGCCAGCCTGCTAGGCCGTGGACGCCGTCTAGGCGGGCGGAGGTGCCGGCTTGGATTAGGCTGGAGGTTAAGGTGCCGAGGGTTAGGCCGACATAGAAGATGCCGCCACGGCGGGAGATTTCGTCGCCGCGGTACCAGGCTCCTTTTTTTTGGTGATTATTTCGTTAGTTGGGTTGAGGATGAGATAGGGGCGGGCATGTGAGCATACCGAAGATGTAGTGCATGCCTGGGAAGAAGGCGGCCTGTTATAGGTAAGTTTATGCTGATTGATCTGGTAGTCCTAGGGGAACAGGGAGAAGGAGAGTAGTACCTCAAACCAACCGACCATAAACCGGTAAGCCATTAGCTCTGAATAGGACGACACTCGGTACTGAAGTAGGGTGAAGACACCCCACATGATATCCATGAAAGGGATCAGCCATGACATGGGAAATCGGGTGAAAAGATATGCGAAGGGAAGTTGGCCGACTACTGCGCCGACGGTGTAAATCGTTTGCAGATGGACAAGTTCATTTCCATGAAGATTGAGGTCTTCTTTGAGGCCAGAGACATAGGCATTGTCTGATTCGTTGTTAGCATTGTTTTAGCTCTCATCGGCAGGGCTAGTGTTGAACAGATAGAATTATGATCTTTAAAGACATACTGATATTAGACTGGTCGATGTATTTCGTCCAGTAAGCTAGAAAAGCATAGGGAACGATCAATAGGTCCAGCTTAAGGATGAGTCGTCGTTCTTCTTTCGTGTCTTGGTCGGCGAACCATTGGATGTGGTACCATTTTTTCCGGGGAGGGATTGTCGTCATAGCTCCAAGTATGTACTATGTACAATGTACCAGGTTTTAGGAGAAAGTGATTGAATTTAATTAAATGCTATCTGATGTCTACCAGAAAACCAATCCCTCCATATACTTCTTCGGTTATTGAAAGCTGAGGATGCCGGCCAAGTTGTCAGGATAGCTCGTGATGGCGTGCCCTTGTCGGTCCCACTTTGATAAAATAGACTATCCTGAATGCTGAAAATTTCCTTTCTAACTTGATCAGATTCTGCACGCTGGTGGATTAGTGTTTTCGTGAAATGCTGCAGCCAAGGATCGTGTCAAAAGGTGGAGAGAAGACGTGCTCGGTAGGGTTGTTGAATCACTCGAGCTCTGATAAAATTATGATCTACACTTCTCTAGCAGGAACTCTTTCATTAAATAGTCAGACTGCATCATAATTTTGTCTAAGGATATAATGTTGCTCTATTTCTTTGTTTATGGGCGTCATTGTATAAGAAAATGCATTCTTTGGGCAAACAAGCCCTCCGCCAGTATCCTAACTTAATACTTCCTCGAGGGCCACACTTGTGCCTATTATTTATGTATTTGTAGCGTTAGTGCCTGTAGGAAGATGCGGTTCATGGCTCTCATGCATAGTAATGGGTAAGCTATTAAATGAGGGCACACACTGTTTAGCGCTTTATGTAGACATAGGTGAACCTTGCCACGATGAAAAGGTAACCTCTCTTCTAGTGGCCCAACAAACGGTGCTGGACACAGCTTGTTGTGGGATAAAATGAATAGCCCGGTGACTATTAGAATAGAAAATTCCTGCTAAATCGTTGGGGCTCTATTCACCATTGATTGTTAGACTTGAAAGGGAATTTTAACGATAGATCAATAAAATAGGAAGAACAATCGTGATCACCCAGTGCACTCTGCCAAATATTTCATGTTGTTCCTCTTTTTCTTCGTCTTAGCAACTGTAGCCTTTGTTCCGTTGAGTGATCCGAAGTCCCGCCTAAAGGTATGCATGAATCACAGGCTGAATGAAGCAGCTGAAAGCATTGTAGAAGGGCTTGAGAAGGCGAGAGGGTTCAAATATATCTATCGTCTCATGATCGAGAGGTTTCTTTCCGTTTATGGACAGGATGCTCACTGTTGGACGCGTGAGGGACCATACCCCGGTTCGAATATCTGCGTTGGATTTTCGGATGTCAAAGGGCCTCCCAGAAGAGTATTTTGCAACGAGATCCTATGCTCATGGGAAGGGCGATCCTCAAGAAGATAAGGCTAGACCAAATGTCTGAATATTTTATGCTATGGAACAGCGGAACCTGCACTGGAGAATTCATCTGTCAAAACACTCCCTGTATTAACCTAGTACTTCAGAATAATGATAACCATTTCTAAAATCTTTCAGGGACTGATGACAATATTGCACATTCAGGACGCAAGGGCTCATTCAACCCCATAAATTCATTTCATCTTGCGAACGCGATCCTCACGGCTTGCATTACTCCTCGCGTAGGTGTTAACGAACGCCCGCCGGTGTTCAGCTGGTGTCTTATTTTGTAGACTTTAGATGCAAGAGTCCTGCCAAGTTATACAAGGTCCCAGTAATCACTGGAGCTCTGTCGAACATAAAATGCGCCCAATTTAGCTACCAGGATACCCCGTAGATTGAGAGTTGAAATTCCCTCGGCGCAGCTTGAAACACGGTCGATATTGTTTCCCCTGCTTTTGCTGGATCATATGGAGCTCGGAATGAGCCTGGCTCGGCAATGATTTTTGCTGAATACCTCCAAGAATAAGATCAACCTCCACAATACCTTCAGCTATGCCCGGGTTGTACCGATCACCAACTGTCACAAAATTCCTGATAACACCAGCAACCGGGCTAGCTGGGCGACTTATCCTATGTACAATCAGGTTTGGTTACAAGAAAACAAAAGAAAGAAAGAAGAAATGTTTCAGAGCACGGCACCTTACGTATGATCTCCAGCAGCCTTTGCATATAGCATCCGACCCCTATATCAACGTCTTCAGTGGGGCGAGTGCTTCCTCTCAAGCGAAGAGAAAGGCCGGCCACCAGAACATATGACACTAGGTTGCTAGTAAAAACTCCAATAATATAATCGGCATGTACTTTCTAACAGCCGGAGGCTACTGGAAACGGCCAGATTTAGTAGGAAGATCTTATATAAAGCTAGCCTCGCCCCGTCCCTTCTCTTTCAATTGCGTTTTGTCGTATTTCACTCCCTACCAACACTGTAACGTTAGAATCCCGACAAACTGAAGATGGTACCGCCTGCGGCATCACCTCCAGTTTCATCATCCTTGTGACAGCTTGCTATTGACAAAGTCCACTCAAAATACAATCAACCCAGCATTTTTCATCTTTCCTGCTTTCTCCGGTCGCTCTAAGTTCTTCAATCTTTTGGACTTGTGTTGATCAACGCACCCGATCTATAGCCTGAGTTGTGCCCTCCTAAACTAGAACAGTCTTGTCTACCCCAGTCTGCAGAGTCTGCCAATCACGCGTTCCCAAGCAGAATTGACTGCTTTGAGAACGAGTACACACTTCTATAAGTCAACGAAGGTTCAGACCCGAAGTTGGATGTGTAGTTAGGGCATATGAGTAAAATGGGTCTTGGCAACGGTCTACTCCTGGCGTAGGCCCAAAAAGATATATCCGAAAAGGTGAACCGTCCCAGGAGAGGATCGAACTCTCAACCTCATGATTAACAGTCATACGCGCTAACCTTTTAGGTGAATTAGAATCTTGTATACGAAATTGTGTTGTTGAAGTTGAACTTACCAATTGCGCCACCGAGACGTTCCGGTTGTGGCGCTGGCGCAACTTAAAGGCTGATATTGATAGTGCTCATTGTGACAACGTTCGTTGTGCAAGGATAGAAACACTGGATATGTCATAGTTCTTTCCAATGCGCGAGAAACATGCGCAATGAGACCATTCATTGTTGACTGGGAGAAACTGGTTATGCTTGGGCGATTTTCAACAAGATTTCAGTGAAGAGCCTGTTCATGGTGGAGCACACGGGCTGGCCAGGCGTGTGAGAAACTGAGTAGAAACCAACAAATATGAGTAGGGTTGGAGACCCCGTAGACCCCCCGCGAGGGAGGTTCGAGCCGAATCCGAGGGCGCATGCGCGCGTGCATATTGTAACCCGCTCCCACAACAACACTCTAAGTCTTTAGGTTTTAGCTGATAAGAAAATATAGACTCTTGACTGTTCCGATAATCTCAAAGCGCCGTTGGCACTCTCCGAGTATTCAAGGGGGCAGCATGTCGGTGGTTAGTTACTCAGGTAAGAGCTATGGACCTGTTATAGCGCACTCGCGGCTAATTGACCTAGGTGAATCCATGAGTGTAACTTATTTCTGGATGACATTTTGATTAAACTCGAAGTTGGTGTGGCTACAATATCCTGTTTTTCCTACTTGAGATACTTCATGAGGTTGGTGTATCACTACCCTCGTGCTATTCTTGTATACATAGTAGCTTTAAAAACAAGACTGGGTAGAAGTTTATTAATATTTTCAATTGACTAGATTTTTCATGAAAATCTAGTTCTTTGTTGCACTGTTTTCCCAAGTACAGCTAGATAGAAATTAGATTGGGGGGTGGTGTAGATGCAGGGTTGATGTGAGGTGTGTTTGCTTTAGGCATATATCATCTTCGGTAAGCTCCGGCTGCTCCTGCAAGTACTGGAGTACCCTTTATCGGATTATAATTATTTCATAGTAGGTGACCGAATGATTCACCATTGAAGGATGGAGTGGAAACTATACATATTACATTCAATGTCTTGAACTACAAATTCCGGCTGTAAATTGTGACTAGATCGGGCAGTATAGTATCCCCGGTACACAGCGACCCACAGCGCTCCGCAAACCTCGAGCAAGACTGCGGTGCCTCTAGGGACTCTCGTCGGTCGAACGTGTCCGGTCGACTCGAAGTCATATTTGTATCTCAGGAACCAGCGACGGCGATGAAGAGCCCATACCAGTCGGTCGATCCCTTGATCGACACTGTCGTGGCATCCTTACCTATGAGGAACGAGATCAGATACGACGTTGATCAATCATCTCATCAAATCTAAATATTCAAATTCTGTTTTATCCTCCATATTCCCACTGTTATAATCAGAGTTGCCTGATGTATCGCCGGAAAGCTCATGGAAGCGTTTCCTAATCGACAGAGTAACAGTATTGCCAAGTAGTTGCTGCAAGATCACGTAAATCAACTCTCTTCATGATCTGCACGTCTCACTGTGCTAAACCAGGCGGCTGTGACAGACCTTTACTCCTGACTCTGAGTCAGAGTCACAGCAAGTAGACGATGCTCCTGCGCTTCCCGTGCCGCAATGAGCGGGCTCCCCGTCTATCGAGGGGCATAAGTATTCTCCCTTCGGACTAGCAAACTATACAAGGCACCTAACACCTTTTGTTGTATGCCCCCATTATGTTGCTTTCTAGAGAGTACTGGATGGCCCTTGGCAACATCTGTGTATAGCCTTTGTATTGATACTGCAGGCCGGAACGATCCGCATGCCAGACGGCCAGAGCATCCCCCATACTAAAATGATCACAGTGTGGCTTGAAGAGCACAGCTTCTCTCCAATGGGCTGAGCTCCGTGGCCGTTCATTTGGGCGAATCCACAGCGAAGACCACACTCGACGCAGGAATGCAAATATGTGCGAATACGCCCTCTGAGAGTAGTCTCGCACTTCAACAGTTCTTCCCCCGGAGGAGCAGTAAAAGCATGCGAAATGCTCCCGGTCGTTTTCTTTTACAAATGAGAGCTGCTCTTTAGACTAGCCTAGGTACAAAGCCCTGCCATACTCAGGGATCAGAAATGCTAGCACATAAACTACACGCCCTCAGTAAACCATCTGTGGCATAGCTCCGAAATTCAAGTTGTTCAATCACGTTAGGGCTTTTGTTGCATTTACCGTATTTGGTATGATAACGGCCTGAGGCAGCAAGGTGTGATTGGTCACGTGGTGATACGAAAATTAATTCGAGACATCGTTATTTCGCAACTTGAAGTATTTCTCCGACCCTATTGACACTACTGAAAAGTCCGGTTACCCTATATAAGCCACTGCGGCCCGGACACCGAGACTATATATACGGAGAACACGATCCAATCAAATTTCAAGTGCGATTTTGCGATTTTAGCCCTTATCCATCATGGGTTCTAGCTCGAAGAAAAAGAAGGAGAAGCAAAAGGATTTCCAGGTAGGAACAATCCGAGCCTTGTCAGGAATGAGCTCGCACATGCTGATACATTACAGAAAGCCAAGCTCAAAGTTGGAAAGGCAAAGGGAAAGCCCGAAAATTTCACTGACACAAGCTTCAAATCCAAAGGTGCGACAGCCCTAGCCTTACAGAAGGATATATCTAGGCTAACTCTGCGCAGGAATTGTCCTGAACCAGCAGTCTCTCACGTTAAATGCGCCATCCTTCAACACTCAATTCTCACACCATCTCTCTCTCCTCTCCTCCAAATCCGACTCCCAGCGCCGTGACTCCCTAGCCCACTTAACCACCTCCATCACCGCGCGACCCGTCAACTCTCCCCTCCCACAACCAGTCAGCGTCATCCTCCCCACATTACTCCCCTTGATCCTAGACGCAAACACCGGAGTCCGCACACAGCTTCTGAAGCTCTTCCGCTCCCTCCCACCAAATGATGTTCAAGACCACGTCCCCCAACTCCTCCCCTACATCCGCGCCGGCATGACCCATCTAGCAGCCGACATCCGCGTGTCAGCCGTCGAGGTCCTCTCCTGGCTGGTTGATGTCGCGGGTGAAGAGGTCGTCTCCTCCGCCGGAGGCTGGATCAAAACACTCAACTGTTTCCTCTCCGTACTAGGATGGCACACGGAGGAATCAGCCAAGTGGTCCGCGAGTCGGGCGTCGTTCGGCAAAAGCGGTACAAAAGGACAACCCATGATGAAGGTGCTTACTGTTCTGGCCGAGTTCTTGTATGCGGGTATTGGTGCGCCGGAAGAATCGAAGGACGTCGATATGGCGGGTTCCGACCAGAGTGCTCCGGGCGTGTCGAATTGGGAGTTTCCTTTGAGCCAGACTGCTGCGCATATGATTCCGGATACGGCTGTGCCGTACGCTTACCTGAATCTGTTTGGTGAACCCCGTAATGAGGAAGGGGAGATGTATGAGACTTGGGAGGATCGGTACCGGGTTTTCTCGAGTCGGTTTTTGTCTGCTATTCAGCGTGGGCTGGAGAATGCCAGGCAGGAGGGTGGAGAGCTTGGACGGGCTAGTTCGGGGGCGAGTAAGGTACTGAAGGAGGCTGTTGCTTATGGAAGGGGGATTGCTGTGTGATTTGCAGATGGATGGTCTGCGTTGAGCTATTTCCCCCCTCCCCCCCGCCCCTGATGATGCTGGACAATGACAATTGGCGCGATCTGACAGACCTACGGAACTGACGTGGTTTGTCAAAGCAGGTTAGGAAGGCTCTGGCTGCGCGCAGAACTTGCGTCGAGAGTGCGGTGAATATTGTACCTCTGCAGAGCTCACGCTACGCTGACAGTCGCTGCATCATATACACCAGAATGATGTATGACCCCCATCACAGACATGACGAAGCAGCCTGTATGTACGTTCATTCAGGCCAAAAAAGCAAACCAGCCAGGAAGCATGTACATATATGCATCATAAATATACCCATTGAAACCAAAATATAAACAATTCAAAAATCCACCTCCTCTCTCTTCTCCCTCCCAACACTCTTCTTCCGACCCCCTATAATCTCCTCCCCAGCCTCAACTCCCTCCACCCTAGCATCATAAACCTCCTCCGGCATAACCGCCCTCTCAACCATCGCCTCCTCAACCGGAAACCACAAAGACAACCCAACATAAACAACACTAGTCCCCACAAACCCCAAAATCCACCCAAACTGATACGGATGCACACCCACACCCACCTCAACCCCCTCATTAACCGAATTAATCAGCCCTGGCAAACAAGGCACCACACCCACCAAGAACGCCACGACAGCCCGCCAATTCACCCCCCACCCCCCATACCCATAGACCGGATTCCGGGGCTGATAAAGCGCCAACGTATCATACTTCCGCCTCTTGAGCACCCAGAAATCCCATAGCATGATCGCCGCAATCGGGCCGAGGAAGATCGCATACGCGGACATGAAGTTCAGGAAGTTCCCCGCGCTGGCGAGGATCTTCCACGGCACGAGACACCAGGAGAGAATGCCGCAGATGATTTGGCCCCGTCGGAGGTCGACGTACGAGGGGAAGAGCGCTGTTAGGTCGTTGGCGGCGGAGATGGAGTTCGCGGAGATGTTGACGCCCAATGAGGCCAAGGCGAAACTGAAGGCTGCGAAGAAGCGACAGGCCCGGCTGCTCCAGTTGCTTATTAGCACGATCGGGTCCCAGGGGATTGGGCCGCCGTAGCGCGCGTGCCCAGCGCTTGAGGCTGCTATGCCGATGAAGGAGATGAAGGTGAAGACTATAGGAAGCATGGGGATGTAGAGGAGTTGCCATTTTGCGCTGACGCGGGAGTAGCGGGAGAAGTCGGACTTTTTTATAGGGGGCTTTGTTAATATTTGGTTTGTTTTTGGGGAGCAGAGAGTTGTTCGTACCTGGTTCACGCTTAGTGTGGCATAGTTTCCTAGTACGGAGGTCATATTTGCGAGGAATAGCCAGCTATATGTTGATCCGGAGACTGTTGCTTCCTGGGCGAACATGCCTCCGCCTCCTTCGGTTACAAATGCCCATATTAAAATTGCGATCCAGGCGATTGGGACTAGAATGGACTTG